TGTGACTTTTTTTTTTTTTTGCAAAGAAAGCTTTATTGGAACACAACCACACATTTCCCTCTGGCCTGTGTCTGCTTTCTCACTACAATGGCAGAGTGCAGCCATTGCAACAGTGGCCATCTGACTACAAAGCCTAGAGTATTTGCTACCCAGCCCTTCAAGGAAGAAAATTTGCTAAGCCCTGTTGTGTATCAAGCGTGGTTGAGAGTCCTTCTTTTCTGTTCTTAATGCTTTTGGTAGTAGATCCTACTGTAAAAAGTAGAAAAAAGTGGGGTTGGATAGGGAACCATGGAAAAAAAGAAAGAAAAGAGTTTTCATTTCTTTATCTAGTTCAGGATAGGAAGTATTCTAGAGAGTTTATAAATGTCATCTCATTAAATTCTCAAAAAGATGCTATGAGATGGGTATTTTAAGTCTTATGCTGTAAGCAACAAAAATGAGTCTCAGAGAGATAAGATCTAAGTTGATTAAGTTTATGTCAAGGGTTTAGAGCAAGGGTCTGCACCCAGCCTTCCCCATTCTAAAAGTCTCTGTTCTTTCTTCTACATTATGTGACTGTTATAGTCAAGATCACCTTCCAATTTAAAAAAAAATGTGATTACCTTCTCCTAAACTGAACTAACTCAGACTTTAAAAATAACATTTGGTACCAAATCATATTAAGCAAATAGTTGACTATAGGCAAAAATTGTCGCATTCTTGGTACCATCATGGTGTCCATTTGTACAAGTGGGTGAGTTGGATTACAGAAGACGAAGATGATCTATTTCTTGTGGGTAACTAGCATTTTGCATTATTGGAAAAACTTAATGGCTCAGCAACAGGAAGATGGAAGTCCTGTGTGGATACTCACATAATTAATTGCACAGATACCATCTAGATGTGTTTAATCAACAATCCTCATCTCCAAGGGTTGCTAAAATTCCCTAAATCAGTAGTTAACAAAGTGGCCTAATCATCCGAATCACTCGTGATATTCTTTAGAATACAGGTTCCCAGGACCCTTCTCTGACTAGCTAAGTCAGTTATCTGGGCTTAGGTTTGGGAATCTGAAATTTTATTTTATTTTTTAACCTCCACAGGTAACTCTGATGATTAGCCAGCTTTGGAAACCATTTCAGAATGTATTGAGAAAATTACTACAATTTATTCTCAAATAGAAACTCAGCCAGAGCAAATAAGAAGTCAATGTGGACATCAGGATGGAACTTGAAAGACCCTAACCAACGACAGCCACCGGATTCAGATTCGTGAGATGAGAAATGGTGACTTAGACTATAATACAATATTCTTTCAAAAGCCATTAAAATTAGAGGTGAAAAAAGGAAGTTTCATGAAATTACCTCGGGCAGGATCTTTATGCCTCTACCAGATTAACAGAGCAAGCACAATTCACAGCAGACATCTCAAGAAATTTCACTAACCATTCATTTAAATCTTAAGTGGATAAGCTGCGATTAAATAAGCATTTTATATCCAAGCAAGAATCGCCCTAATGAGCAAGTCTAAATCCTGTTTTCAAGATCAAAATTGCCTTTTGGGACAAGGCCTCTTTTCCAGGGTGTCCTTCCAAGGGAGGAGCACTTCAGACCCAGGGCAAATGTGCCTAACAGATGAAGACAGCAAGTCCTGTGATCCGTTAAAAGTCACTGGAGAAAACAGAAATGGCTCTTTTAGAAAGGTAGATTTGATTTCAAGAAAATAAAGACCTTTGATCACCCAGTCCAGCGCTCATCCTACAGAGGGCAGCAGAGAGCCCAGCCTGAGTTTCCCAACACCATCCATTCTGCAGCTTTGGCACTTCCTTTTGCGTGTTTTTACTTATTGGCTAAGCACCTGTATGGCTCCCTGACCAGACTGGAAGCAAAGGCAGGTCCACCAAAGGCAGGAGCCAGGGGGAACTTCCGGCGTCACCAACTTCTCCTATGTAGTTCTGTTTGGATGCCTACACCAGATGTTGGTGATGTTGTTAGGTCATTAAGTCCACCAGTTAACTCAGAGAATGTAGAAGTTCAAAAGCAAGCAATCCTCTCCAAAAACTGAGCATTTGATTCTTTGCCTTAGTTAATGTGGGGTAGGTCCTTTTCTGTAGGAGGAATAAATACAAAAATCTATACACAGATTCGCACCTTGTATCAATTTATTAATACATACATTTATTTGTTTAGCAAACACACCAAGGCTGAGATTGTAGCTCATTGGTAGAACACATTGCCTGCAGTGTGCAAGTCCTTGGATTTAATCCCCAGCAACACACACACACACACACACATACACACACACACATATACAACCACACATAAGAAAATCCAGTAAAGCATGAACTCATCAGAGTGTTTAAATAAGTCAAAATTACAAGTGCATCTTTCTCTTCTCAAATCCTTTCTTGGATGAAATGCATGCCAATTAAATAGGCATCTTTCAGAGCATGAGCTGTAGAACTGGCCCTACGTGATGTTAATAATTATTACAGATGAAATTGTTCCATAGTTTAATAATCTGGGGAAATTCTGGGTGAGACAGGTTAAAAAGATATTTCTTTATTATAGAGTTTCTCTAAGCTTTTTCATTATCCCAGTTTGCTTCATGAATCTTAAATGTAAAAAGATGGTCAGTAATTTATTACATAATGTTTTCCATCTCACTCTTCTTATGGAACAACCAAGGGGCTGACTTTGTGATCTGGAAACACACTTTGAGAATTATTGAATCAGACACTTTTCTAATAAAATCTCCTTCTGTTAAAGAAATTTAACCATTGAAGTCTTGTAATTCTTTAAGATCCCTCAGAATTGTGGTCCTCAATTCTAGCTGCACATTAGAATCACCAAGGTGCTTTAAACATGCCAGTGCCCAGATCCTACCCAAGACCAGTCAAGTCAGAGTCACTAAGGCTGAGGCTGAGGCAGAGGCTGAGGCTGAGGCTGAGGCTGGGTAATAGCAATCTTTAGAAACCCCCAACACCCTTAGGAATGATGATCTGTAAGCAGTTTAGGGACCCACTGGCCAAACAAGTTGATCTCTTTTACCTTGACTGACTTATGCCACATCAGTGAACTCCAAAGACTTTGCACTCAAAATCCCTTACATGCTAACAATATTAAACCTCTAGTGGCTTATCTGGCCAAACCACGCCTCATTTGTCTTAGACCACAATGCTCCATCTTGTCTGCTGCTAGCAGATGTGAGAGGAGGTTTTAGGGGTTGTGTAAGGAAGGAAGCCTCTAGATGGCTAAAAATTGGCTTGTTTGGGCTTTTTTTTCCATTTCTGGTTCTGGGGATAGAACCCTGGGGTGCTTTACCACTGAGCCACATCCCAAACCCTTTTTATTTTTTATTTTGAGACAGGGTATTTCTAAGTTGCTTAGGGCCTCACTCAACTATTGAGGCTGGCCTCCAATTTGCAATTCTCCTGCCTCAGACTCTGGGGCTGCTGGAATTACAGGTGTGTGCTGTTCCCCAGCACAACTTTCTGTAAATCTGAACATTTTCAAAATGGAAAATTAAAAAGTAAAAATAGCTAATTAAAAAATTTCCCCATTCTATCACGTTGGATTAGGCCCCGACTTCTTAACAAGACTCCTAAAGTGTAAGAAATAAAATCAAGAATTAAAAAACGGGATGGTCTCAAACTAAAAAGCTTATTTTCAGCAAAAGAAACAACCAATGAGGTGAACAGAGAGCCTACATTTTGGGAAATTTTTGCCACACACACATCAGATAGAGCACTAATCTCTATGATATATAAAGAATTCAAAAAACGTATTACCAAAAACAAAAAAAAACAATAAACAACACAATCAATACATGGGCTAAGGAGTTGAATAGACACTTCTCAGAAGATATATATTCAATCAATAAATACATGAAAAATTACTCAACATCTCTAGTAATTAGAAAAATGCAAATCAAAACTACTCTAAGATTTCATCTCACACCCATCAGAATGGCAGTTATCAAGGATACAGACAATAATAAATGTTGGCAAGAATGTGGGGAAAAGGCACACTCATACATTGCTGGTGGGACTGTAAATTGGTGCAACCAATCTGGAAAGCAGTATGGAGATTCCTTAGAAAACTTGGAATGGAACCTCCATTTGATCCAGCTATCCCACTCCTTGGTCTATACTCCAAATCAGCATACTACAGGGACACAGCCACATCAATGTTTTTAGCAACTTAATTCACAGTAGCTAAACTGTGGAACCAACCTAGATGCCCTTCAATAGATGAATGGATAAAGAAACTGTAGTGTATATACACAATGGAATATTACTCAGCATTAAAAGAGAATAAAATTATGGCATTTGCAGATAAATGGATGGAGTTAGAGAATATCATGCTTGGTGAAGTAAGCCATGATAAGTGGATGTTGTTCCAAAATGGGGAGGCTGGAGGCAGAAGAAAAATGGAGGAACTTTCATTGGGCAAAGGGGTGGGAGGGTGGGGAGGTTGCATGGGGGCAGGAAAGATGGTGGAATGAGATGGACATCATTACCCTAGATACTTGTAAGACTGCACATAGAGTGGGATGCTACATCATGTAAAACCAGAGAAATGAAAAATTGCGCTGCAATTGGGTACAAAGAATCAAAATGCATTTTGCTGTCATATATACCTAATTGAAATTTTTTTAAAAAAATTTCCCCATTCTGATTCTTTAGAAATAATAGAATCGATATTCAAGGAATTTTGTCTCCCTTTTAGGTATTTTGAGATAGCTAGAGATGAAGAGGTGCATTTTAGTAAGTATATTATGTGATTTTGATCCACCCTGCCATTGTTCTCAGGCTGGAGGATTTGCTAGAAGGGATAACAAAAGATATGGAGGCAAGCAAGGTGCAGGAGAGAAGGTGTTGGTAAGAAGACAGTGGGAGCTGCTGGAAATGGGTTTTGGAAAGAGGGTTTGAATAGGAGCCTGGGGGAGAGAGACAATTGTGAGGTAGGGAATAGTGTGAAAGATATTTATAAGGGCAGAAAAGGCACAAGAGAGTTTAAGATATTTTGCAGACTTTATGCATATATGTTCTCCTTGGCATTTGCTAGTAAGACTGCAGTACAGATTTCCATTGTTTTATTTTCCATTCTTTTTCTTTGACTAGTACTGTACGCTGAAGCTCATCACCAATGGGCCTGGGTATAGTCCTGTGGTGACTCCATCCAGATCATGTACATTGTATGGAAGACAGACTCAAAACCATTTGCCTGGTACCTCTTGACTTAAAGATAACAAGTCATTTGGAGGAATAACCAGGTGATCTAAGGTGGCCCTGCAAACCCAAACCTCTCTGTGGCCTTGTGGCATAGCCCTCCAGTAGTGGGCATAAACAGTGATCACCAACGGTAGACCTGAGAAGAACGATGCATGCACACGGCTCAAGAGCTATTCAGACTCTTGTGGATTGTCTTCGGCCTCAATGTCTGTGTGTTTCTTCCTAATCATTTTCAGGACTGGAAGCCAGAAATGAACCTGAAAAGCGGATAAATGAACACTGGACTCATTTCAAATGCCTCTTACATAAATTTTTCATCATGGTGTTAGTGGTATTGAAAGGGACATGAAATCTTATCCTTTTGGTATTTTTTTGGTCTTACATTGTCTATGAACTATTTCCCAAATCTTTAAGTTGTAGATGGCTGATAACAAGGATGTACAGGATTCATGACCATGACATGCACATGAACTTTGCCCTGCAAAGGACAATTGATTCTTCCAGTGTCCTCCCAGACAGAGGAGCCAGGCAACTATGAAGCAAATTTATTTTGGTATACTTGATAACCTGTATATGTGTCTGTGTGTTTTGAATTATTCTTTAAATGGTTTCTCCTCATTAATAAATATGTTAAATAAAATCTTTGACATGTGTATATGGGAGCTATGGTGATACACACACACATATGTATGTATGTATGTATGTACATATGTACATTATATAATAAAAACCATAGACAAATAGATGGATGGATGGATAGATAGATAACACTGTAGGATGAACAAATTCTTTGAAATTGACAAAGTTTTAGATATCCTTCCATGTTTTCTCTTTATTCTTGGCCCAGGAAAGTATTGGGTATTATTGGATATTGTTATTCAATATCCAATTCAGAGAAGACCTTCCCAAATAACCTCTCTACAATATGGCTTAACATACTTACTTGAAACCAATATTTTGAAGGATGTCTTGTAGACTTCTCTGGACCACCATTCAAATCACAATGCTGAGCCACAGCCAAGCAATTTTGTCACCCCGCCCCCACCTCAAAATCCTCTCTACTGTTGGGATATGAGCTCTGATATGAAGTCAAAGAGAGCTTTGAAATCCTCTTTCCATTTGCTTTTCAAACTTACCATTCACTTAATTAGAGGTTAACCCCCCCATCTTGGCCTCACCTTTTTAAAGTACAGACTCAGTTTCCTTTTGAACTCTTCTGGTGGCTGCTTTGATCTTTTTCTAAGTAGCTTTGCATGTAGGTACTGAATGCGCTCCCTCTCCACGTTGGGGTAGAAGGATGTGGACACCAGGATCTTAAGTTGCATCAGAATGGAGGACAACAGTCCCAGCAACATTAATATCACAATAATAATACTGAGAGGAACCCAAGTCCTAGACAGAAGGAGCTTAGGTTTAGGGATGCAGCTGGGTTCAAAGACAGATATATTAAAGGAAGAATCATGGATGAGGTCTTGAGTTCCTTGTTTCTAAAATGAAAGAATAAAATAATTAATATCCATGCCATTTTTCTACCCAGTCTTTATCTTTCTCAATATTTCCTGGCAGCACATAGCATTTATCTTCAATCTGCAGGGAGCTTTGGTTAAAAGAACTCTCACATCTTGTTTTTTTGTGCTGTGTTTGGAACAAAGGAGAAGGGATGAGTTGTCTGTAACTATGGAAGTGATTTCCAAAGCGGGTTTGCAGAAGCACTGGTTTTCTTGAGATAGGTGTATCAGAAAAGTATTCAATAGCTTCTTGGAGAGTCATTGTTGAAGGCTTTAAGAAGATGGAGAAATCTGTTTAATGTTACACTAACAAATCTGGCCACATCCACATTTTCATGGGATACATGTTTCTCCACTTTTGGCACATGAGCTAATGTGAGATGGGGAGCTGGCTTAACTGGGGGAGAGGATCGCTTGAGGACACGCCCCTTATGACCCAGAGAACATCCTCCTAATCATGACAAACTCCACTTCAGCAGATAACAAGTTCACAAAGATGATGAGACACTAAATCATGCTCTGAATCAATCTTCTGAAGCTTTGGGGGATTCCTCTTATTCATTGTGTGATATCCTATTGTAGGTTGATGTGTTGACCCTCACTGAAGGAGACTAAAATCTTGTTGGAGGAGATCTTTCAAATAGGGCATTTTAGCATGTCTCCCAATTACTCAGGAGGGGTGCATTTCTTCATGTTTGAAGGCAAGAGAACAAAAAATTGCCCTCAGCAGACTGATACAGAGGGCAAAAGATGACATTGAACTACCCAGCCCAGCCACCAGCAGAAGTGTGTGCTGACTCAGCTCTTTCTTTCCCCTGACCTGAGAAAGTCATTTAATCTCTCAGTGGATTTGTTTTCTAATTGGCAAAGCAGGAATTAATGGACCAGATCCTGCCTATGAACAAACTACTCCCAGTGTAAATTAAACACCTTGGGGATGGAGCATTAACCTTACCGACTGGTGTACTTAGTAAGTTATTATCACCCTAGTGCCACAGAGTCCTGGGCCCAGGAAGAAGTAGATGAAGTCTCAAAAAAAAAAAAAAAATCCAGAAAATATCATGCACCTTGGATCCCAGGGCCTATAAAGAATCTGGAAATGCCAAACCTGGGACCTCTATACAAATTCAAACCTGCGCCTACGCAATGAAAAACATTTGTGTTGCTTCTCCTCTTATTAAAAAGACAGTCAGTCTACAATTAAATAGAGATTTCAGTCCCCAGAGCAAAGGCATGCAGTCTTTTTAATACTATTGAAGAAACAAACCCATCGACTGAGGCAGTGATGAGCAATCCCCGCAATGAGAAAGCAGCGGGGGTTCGGTCTGGGAAGAAGTTATTTAGTCTAGAAATCCAACTGGGGGTTTTGCAGTTGGGAGTCAGGGCTTCAAAACGATCGAGTCAACATTTTTGTATGGGGTTGGTTGAGGGTAACGTGGAAGACAAATTCAGTCTTTCCAAATGCCAAGCAACATACTAAATGGTACCCCAGTGATTTAAAATGTGTTTCCTTCTCTTAGGTGAACAACCTGCTGGGACAGCATTGAGTCATGGGTGGAGGGCAGGCCCAGATGTCCCGCCATCTTGCAAGGTTAAGGCAGTAGAGCGCAAGTAGGGACTACAGCTATTTTTATTTACAATGCCCACCCATACAGCTCGATCAACTTGGATCATTTCCCAACTTCTTTATTTAAAACATTTATCTAAAATTGTATGAAAGTAGGGAGAAATGTGGGCAAAAACTTGAACCAATGTTTCTCTTCCAGCTTGACTTCTCTGTTGCAAACCTATAGCCACAGACAAGATGCACAGCCTCCAAGGGCATCTTGGGATAAGGCCAGTCATGCAGAAGCTGGTTGTGGCTATCTCCCAGGCACAGTGGGAGAGAGCTGGAGGGGCACTCCCAGGCAGCCTCCTTCCCAGATTGGTTCCAGTGCCCAGCACAGTGCTGCTGTTAGGTGTATACATGGCGGCCACCCCCATTGGGATACCACCCTCATAATGCGGCCATCACAGCCTGGATGGACATGGTCACATCCCCAGTACCCAGCAGTGCCCAAGATGAATGTGTCAGCATATTGTCATTAGAAAGCTTCTGTGCTTTTGGGGGAAGTCAGAACTTGCCATTGTCCTCCTCTGTCTAAACCAGTGGGAATTAACAAAACAGGAATGTGTATTGGGTATTAGCAGAGAGAGAAATAAATGAAGGGGATCGAGAGACAGGGAGAATCAAGAAGGGAAGACAAGAAAGGATAAGACAAAGGAGAATGGCAGGAAGAGAGGCCTTCTTATTGGCCACCCCCCACACCCAAGACCAAGGACTGTGGGATTCTTGTTTGGCTTTCATTTGAAACGCTACTTCCATTATCCACCCTGCTCCAAATATCTAGAGCAACAGGGTGCTTGGTAATTAACTGAATTCTTCAGGGAAAGCAGAGAGCTCAGAGTAATCAACTCTGAGAAGCAGCCCAGGATTCGGAGGGCAGGAACCAGGGGATCTGGATCTGCTGAACCAAGAGGGAAGGAGGAGGAAAAGTGTGGATGCAGCAGGAGGATCTGAGACCCTGGGAGAGAGAGAGAAGGGGAGGATGGGGTTTCAGAGGATGGTTTACCAGCAGCAGCCTGGCCGTCATTTCCTCCTCTGTGATTTTCCCAGCAGTTGGCACATGGTGACTGCTGCTGGTGAGTGCACAGCCCCGGAAGTGTACTTGACCCCAACATGCATCACGCCTGTGTGCACGCACCAACATGCCGTACCTGGTTCTGCGCCACAATTTCTGGGATTAAAAAACTAAATAAGGCAAATGTCTGACAATTCCCAGACCCTCTGAAATGTCAACATAATTACAAATTTCCACAGGGAAGATGGAAAAGATAAAAGATGAGATGCACAAAACCCTCAGTCTTCTCTGTTGGCACATGGTTGCTGGGAGGAGGGAGAAAGCCAGATTCCTTAAGATGCAGGGGGCACCAGCTCAGAAAAAGACATTGTCTTGCCTAATTATGGGTTTTCCTAGAACCACATGATGGCTATTAGAACTTAGATATCTGGCTCTGTTCTTCCGGGTGATGGGTTTAAAACAGAGGTTCTCAGTCTTGGAGACACATTAGACTTATTCCAGGAGGTTTTAAAAATTCTTACCCCAGTCCAAGTACAGGAGATTCCGTGGGGTTTCAGGAGAGGAGTTTTGGGTGTGTTCACTTGCTTGCTTATTCAGTTCCACAATGACACACCTGTGCTAAGGTCTAAGGTCAAGGATTCTTGTCTAAAAGGTTTTACATTTTAGCACCTAAGCCAGAGTTTCCCCAAATGTGGTCCAGGGCACTAGGTACCAGCCACGTTACTGGGTCATATAGAAGCCCTTTATCAGCAGTCATCTTTTTAAACATTACACTGATGAACTGAGATCAGTGTTTGATAAGGACTTGGGATGCATAAGAAATCAGGCCCTAAGAGTAAGAAGTCAGGCCCTAAATCCTGGACTCAGGTTTGTGCCAGATACAGCTTGAGAATCAACTCTAGGTTCAACATCAGAGATATCTATTCCCACGTTTCATTGTATATGGAGTATAGGAGGCTGAAAAATGGTTCCCTCATGTCCTCCATAAGATCCTAGTCCCTAGAACCTATGGCACTTCACTTGGCTTAAAGGGCTTTACTAGAGGAGATTAAGTTAAAGATCTTGAGATGTAAAAATTATCCTGTCATCCCAGTGAGCCCTCATGAGACCATATGCGTGACTTAAGAGAGCAGAGGAAGATTTTCTATAAGGTGATGTGAAGACAGAGACAGAGATGGGAGCTAGGCCATCACAAGTCAAGAAATGCCACCAGCCACCAGAAGCTAAAGAGGAAAAGAGTGAATTCTTTCCTAACACCTGAAAAGAACATGTCCCTTCCAACCACATCTCAATTTTATCCCAGGAAAACTGAATTCAGATTTCTCACTCCTATGGCTATAAAAAAATACATTTCTACTGTTTAAGTCACCTAGTTAGAAATCATTTGTTATAGCAGCCAGAGAACACTAATACAGAATCACATTCTAACATTAGTACTTCAATTTGACCTACACTTGTTGGGTTTCTTCTATGGGCCATGCACTGTGTTAGACACCAGTGATCCAAAGGTGAATAAAATATTTCCCTGTCTTGGGAGGTTCCAGATCTTTTGCAAGACTGACCCAGCAAGAAGCTGTGACACACCTGGGAGCCCCTACCTCTCTGTGCAGTTTCAAGTGAACTTCAAGTCTTGGCAAGCTTTGGAATTGTTTGCTCACGGAGAAAATGAGCCGATACAGCAGGTAATCTGCAGCTGTGAACAGCACCCAGATGGAGAGATGGGTAAGTATGGGGAGGAAAAACAGCCCCAGGTTTTTCCTCTCTTTAGGAGTCAGCCGGAAAGATGGGATGACAACATACTTCTTCCTCTCCCTCTTATTCAGTGGGAGGACACAGGGCCTCTGTCGATACCTCTCCTTTTCATCAAACTGAACAAATTGTCTGGTGATGTAGATGTTTTCAAACTTACAACCCCAGGGGCCCAAAAATCGCTTCATAAAGAGGCCAGTGCTGAGCAGAACAAGAAAAAGCCCAGCAAAGGCGAGCAGCTTCTGCCCCAGGGAGGAAAACACCTCCATCATGGTGGTCACAGGGTGTAAGACACTCAGGACTTCTCCTTTGGTGTTGTTTAGCTGTTCCTCCAGGACATGTCTGGGACTGAAAAGAGAGACTACCAGTGTCTGATTCCACGAAACGAGGTCATCAAATACATTCAGTGGAGTGGCAAGGCCATAAATCCACTGAATGGCTTCAATGTATTTTTTCAGAAGTGGAAAATGTACGGAAAAGCTCTTTGCCCTCAGGTTGCAAGTCATACTGTCCAGGAAACATTTAAAGTTGTGAAAAATATTTTCCACGTGGCCAAAGATCACTATGCCCGTGCCAGCTGCAATCAAAGCGTTCCTGCCTTCACGCAGGCCACACGAGAGAAAGACCAGAAGAATGAAACAGCGCGCGTGCCTGGAGCAGCCCAAGAGAACACACATGACCATCCAGGAGGTGGCGAAGGCCACCACTGATGGCAGAAACCAGTAGAAGGCCACAGAGAGGAGGCTCGCTGAAATGAAGGCCACAAAACAGCACACTCCCAAGTGCTGGAGAAAGTCCACCCATCCAGGACCTCTCGGAAACACGTACATCCTCCAAAGACTTAGGAAGACATCCATGCTCGAGGTCCACATGCCCATGATCCCTGTGTCCCTAGGAATGAAAAAGAAACCAAGATCAGAAGATGCTTAAGAGCCAGGAGGTGGATGGATGCATGACATGGTGGTGATTCTTCACCCCTCCCTCTTTCCACCCCTTGCAATGAGACCTCACAGCTTTTCCCACCGAGAGGTGAGAGAAAGAGAATCCATCAAGAAGTGGACTCTGTTACTCCATTCCTTGAATCTGAGCAGGACTTGTGACTGCTTTGGCCAGTAGAATGTGACAGCAGGGCGGTGTGCCAGTCCCTAGCCCATGGCCCGCTCCTGCATGCTCTCTTGGAGCTCTGCCATCGCCATGGTAACAAGGCCAGCTGTACTCATCTCCTGTAGCCACACAACAAATTACCATGAACTCGGTGTTTCAAAGAAACATCTACTTATCTTCTTACAACTCCAGAGGTCCACTGAACTGTGCTCCTACTGGAGGCTCTGGGGAGAATGTGTTTCCTTGCCTTTCTGGCTGCTAGAGTCTTCCAACATTCCCTGGCTCATAGATCCTTCTTCCATCTCAAAGCCAGCAAGGCTGCATCTTCCCTCCTCTGTGACCTCTGTTTCCATCCTCTGATCCTTCTGCTTCCCTCTTTTAAAGACCCTTGTAACTACATGGGGACACCCAGATAATCCAGGATAATACCCCATCTCAAGATCATTGACTTAATCATATCTGCAGAGTCTCTGTTAGCATGTAAGGCAACATGTTCACAGGTTCTGGACATTCAGACATGAATATCTTTGGGAGGTCATGGTCCAGCTTTTCACAGCAGGTTAGACTTCTGGTCAACGAGCCTACTTGACTACTCAATGCCATCAACTTGGCCAGTGGTCACCCAGCTACCAGTCATGTGATAGAGGCCAGCCTAGATAGACTAGCCAGCACTCCCCCCCCCACCAACCCCACCAACCCACCAGCTGGCCATGGACCCATGAAAAAGAATAAATGCTGTTTTATTTTAAACCACTGAAATCTGTTCTGGTCTGTTAGGCTGTAATTGTTAATTGATAAAGGCAACAGTACTGTATCATGGGCCTAATAGTTGAAACAAACAGTAGGCTGATGGATAGGCGGAAGTCTCACCGAACTGCATTATGTAAGAGTACTCTTTAATAGTCATCTATTTTCTTGTGCTGTAATTTTACAGACCAGAAAGCATACCAAGGGCATCCAAACTTCAGTGTGGAATTGGACTGAGGTCATTATACCTCTGCTCTGTAACCATTGCTTCTTCCTCCTCTGCCCCTACCTTCAGTGTACAGTTGTCTCCTGAGAGTCTTACAAGGAAAGGAAGGATATTTTTGTCTCTAGAATTAATCATCTTTTCCTTTTTCCAGACATAGGATAATTAAAATAAAGATGCTATAATGCTGCTACCACCCTGTTAGTCATGCATATTTAGGTCTATGATGTACTCAAAGAGGCTAGGATTCATATGGAGTATTACAAAATAAATTTGAGATTTGTCTTTCTTAATTGACATGAAAATATCTAACAAGCATGGTATCATATGCATAGGATTTTAATGAGGACACTGATCAATTTTAAACACTGTCAAATACATCCCTTCTCTCATAAATATAATGGAGCTGGATTTATGGAGTCGGTTAACTGCTAGAACCAGTGAGTTTCACTCATCATGTGAGATATGTGTGGGGTGCTGATAGAAGCATGAACTGGGCCACCAGAGGTGAAAAAAATATTGTCTTTCTGTGTTCAGGCTGAAGAGGGTTAATGAAAGGCAGAAGTAAGAGGAGGGGGAAAGGCATGTCAGGAATAAACATGGAAATTTCTCTAGCAAGAGAATAGAGGGCATGGATCTTTGGGCACAAATTCTGAATGCAAATGCTCAGAGCAGACAAGAGACATGGGGAGAATCTGAGTTTTGAAGAAGGGTCATTACCACCTAAGACTGGCCTTGGCAGAGATCAGAATTGTACACATGAGGATGTTCCTACTCCATCAGGAGGAAAGGAAATTAGAATAAAGATCAGGATGGGAAACTGCAAAAGACCATAGTTCTTTTCCCCTGCAAACTTGCTTTCTTTCTGAATCAGGTTGGATGGAGGGTTGGTCGTGGCTACATGCACAGTGGCCAGTGAAGACAGAGACAGCCATCATGGATGGGCCCTGAGCTCCTGAACCCAGCATTGCTAACCCTACCCAACTTCATTATGTGAATAGGAGGGCTTGGTGGATGAGTGGGCAGTGGGCAGAGGGCCCAGCAATAGAGCAAGTGAAGAGCTGCTACCTCTCCTCTGTCCCCATGCATTTTCGTTGCCATTACTTTGACTTTGACCCCAAACCATCATTTGACTAACCGATACACTCATAAGCATTCTTTGCCCTCTATGTTTTAGGCACTTTCTATAAAGCATCCACACTCCCTACTCCAACCCATGGATTAGGAAGCTCTTCCCGTTTTACACAGTGGAACCAAGACTCCATGTGCTTATTGAAATTTGCCAGCGATCATGCAGAGTAGATGGTACAGCAAGATTCACACCAGGATCTCCTGATTCCCTCCCTCCTGCAAACTGCCTGGATTCCAAGACTCTGACTTAGCTTACAGGACAATCAGCTTGCTGTGTCTGTGCCTACTGGAAACATGTCACACTTTCTGCCAGGGACTGTTTAAGGGCTGACCTGAATATCACAAACCCATCTCCACTATCTTCAGTGTTTTTTCCTCCTACATCTAAATAATCAACAATAATCTGTCTCCAGTTAGCAGATTCTTCTCTAACCAAATCAGAAATCCCAGCTCTTTTGTTTATTTTTTTTCTAATTTCTTTTATGAGGTGCCCTTCTGCTTGCCTCCTGAAATATTAATAATGTATACTGTGGTTCTTTTTCCCCTTCTCTTGCCTTCATCCTCGTACAATGTGTTCTTAACACGGATATTTCCCTGAAAGTATGAAATGGATTTATGGACACATTAAAATTTTAACATTCTGCAATAAAATCTAGTATCAATTAAATAAGATCTATGACTGCAATTTTGTCCTGTAAGAGGCACATATTTGCTCAACAAGCTACAGATCTAAACTTATCCTCTTGTAATTGTGCTGAAAACAGCATGTCACCCAAAGACACCGAACCTTTCCACATTGAGAAGACCAGGCACATTTGCTCCTATTTTACAGCTCAAGCCACAGAGCAGAGCTTTGGACCATGGGCCTTCCCTTCCGTTCCTGTCAGGGGTGGCTTAGATTTCTTCTCCATTCTCAGTTCCTCATTTTCCCCATTTGAATTTAAGACCTACGTGCTCCTTCCTGGTGAGGTTTAAGGAGGAAAATTTTAGCACCCTTAATACTCCTTGGGCATAAGGTGTCCCACGGATACAACCCCTTACTTCTTGCTATTTCTCTGCTGACACAGAAAATTGAGAACTTCCATTCTCTGCCCTTCAGGCAAAGATGGAATTCCCAAGTTGAAGGGAGGCTTAGATTCAGGGCAGGACTGTACCACCCTCCCAGCCCTGCAATGCTGCCCCTGGTGCCTTCAGAGGTGGGCTGCCTTCTTTCCTCTCATTCCTGTGGCAGTGAAGCTATTCTGCTTATCTTTTTGCAAATAACTTCAGTTCCTTTCTTTCCAACAAATCACTGAATCTAACTTTTGACAAGTTACTTGCTTGGTTCTTTCTCAAAGATTTTGTCAAGCATGGACACTGATTCTTACATTTTAATTGAGAGCTGGAGGGAATTGTATAGATCAGGGCTGCTCAGATGTGAGCTTGTCATCACTGGGGGAATCTTGTGAAAATGCAGGTCTTGATTCAGAAGGTCTAAGGTGCATCTGAAGTTTTGCAATCTAACAAGTTCCAGCTGACACTGACATGGCTCATCTGATGACCAGACCTCAGGTAGCAAATTCTAGAATCAGTTCTGAGAGAACTTTCTGTGATAATCGACATGTTGTATATCTGAACTGTCAACACAGGGACACTAGCTGCATGTGAGTATTAAGCACTTGGGATGGGGCTAGTGCCTAGGAATAGAATTTTGAATTGAATTGAAATTGAAATAAGTGATAAGTGAATATCTACATATTGGGTATCATGGTTCCAGGTGAATGATACCAAACCAGATGATTTTCACAGCAGAGGAAATGAAAATGTAGAGAGAAGAGGGACCCACCAAAGCTGTCCTGGCATTTGGCAAAGCCTGAAGCAAGAGCCCAGTTCACCACAAATCAACACTTTTCCCATCACATCAACATCTCTTCACATCAATAACTCATGAAAAGGACTTTTCACTATCCTTTCTAAAATCCTTACTAGGGTCCCTGAGTAATGGGATTGAATGTTCCCACATACCTATCAGTCTGCTAGATTAGCCATAAAAATACCTTAGGCTCTGTGGCTTAAAGAGAAGACAAATATATTTCTCACTGTTCTGAAGGCTGCGGATCCCATACCAAAGTCCTGTGGGGTCAGGTTCTGGTGAGGGCTCTCTTCCTGATTCACTGATGGCCTCCTTCTGTCTGTGACCTCACATGGCATAGAGAGGAGGGTGGGCTCTCTGGTACCTCTCCTTTTCCTCCTCCTCCTCCTCCTCCTCCTCCTCCTCCTCTTCCTCTTCCATACCCTTCTTTCTTTCATACTGTATTATCCTTAAGTATACCGACCTTTCCAATATGTCACCCAGAGATCATTTCAGCCTCAGCTCTATTTGGCCACAAGTCTTTTCTTTTAAGCAATAACAGAGCAGTTATAAGGACACTAATCCTATTGGATAAGGGCTCCACCCATATGACCTCCTATAATCTTCATCGCTTCCTTGGAAACCCCATTTCCAAATGCAGCCACGCGGGTTAAGCCTTAAACATAGACTTGTGGTAGATGGGGAAACAAACATTCAGTCCATAACAATACCCGATTTGTCTCCAGGCACCAGAAGGTACCTAAAGAAGTGGAAAAACCATAACTTTGGACTCTGTCTGAGACTTAGTAACTTAACAGAAACACTACTACTAATAGATAGCAGTTATG